GGAGGGAGTGAAGGGAGGGCTAGGAATGGGAAAAAAATAAGAACCAAGATGCATTATGTAAAGGTACAATTCCCAATGAGAAACGTAATTGTGTTGTATACCTACAATGCACCAATAAAAGAATTTAATAAAAAAAAAAAAGACTAGTATGTGTGGAATTTCTGGTCAATATGAGAAGTAACTTCAGCCATGTTGAAGGTTTGGGAAGAATTCAACAATTCCAGGAACTCTCACGGTAGAAAGAGGAGAGTCCAGGTTAAGTGCATCTGTATCTTCAGGACAGTGGCTGGCTGATCAGAAAACCCAACTGATGCCAGCCATGTGAATTTCTTACTGATAACATCAGCAAAGAGAAAGGACTCGTGCTGGGCATGTGAGCATGAAACAAGACCAAATGTGAGCAAAGAACATAAAGAGGCTTTATTCATCGGCACTTTCCTCTTTTCAGCAACTGCTTGTTCAGTAATGCTCTAGCATGTAAGTAGTTTTAGTATTATTAGAAGGTACAAAGGCAGATAGTGAATCTTACATTTATGGCAAGAGGCTATCCCACAATCACAAATGTCTAGTGCTGCTGTATCCTGGCAAATTCAGGGTGAAGATGCTAAGGGTTCCCCACACAACACTTGAAGCATCACAGGGCCTCATCTTGTCACTGGGTCTGAGAGATTTCTGAGCTAAAATAAGGAACCTAACCCATTCTTCTGTAGCAGGTTTGGTGACTCCCACTGTAATTTTTAGGACATGGCAGTAAGATATATGAGAAGGATTAGCAGAGATTTTAGGATGCGCTCAAGAGTGGAGTGTGAGTGCTCAGAGAAATGGAACTGGGAATATATATATATATATTAAAGGGGTGGAAAAGCCTGGGAAAAGGTAGCACCCCTCAGAAGGGTATTAGCCCATTTTACAGATATGGGTGGGTTTAAAAAAATAGGTAATTTATATACTCTTTGGGTTTGGTTAACTGGCTCCTTTACTTTGGATCAGGGTCCTACTCTTTATTTTTTAATTAAGTAAATTTATGGACTTTTAGTATTCTTGAGGAATTTTGGGTGTGATGGGTCTAGTAGGGAAAAAGTCTAAATTTAACCAAACTCTGGCTGACTCCTAGAAGTTGCAGTCTACTTATAAGTACAATTTTTAAATTTTTGGTACCAGGGATCGAGCTCAGGGCCTTGCGGTTGTGGCACCTCTGAGCTAAATCCCCAGTCCATAAGTACAATTTTGTTATGATTTCCTTGTTTCCTTTTCACCTTTTATTTCTTCTATCCTACCACAACATAAGCTTGCTGAGCTGATGCTCAGAGTCTTCGAGGACCTGAGGTCTGCCCACAGATCCATGGGAGATGTTAGGGATTTTTTAAATGTGTGTTATAGTCTCTTACTTCTAAGTCTTTCCAGGGAATATGATGGAAAAGGAGGTTTAAAACATTTCTCTTCCAACAGTACTGTTTCAAGTGTGAATCAAAGGAAGAAAGAAGGGAGGGAGGGAGGAAGGAAGGTCAATGGATCTGGCTGATTCTTTTGTCCAGTTGCAAGCCTGAGAGGGAGATAGTGGAGGGGTTAGAAGGGCTGCAGGAGGAAATATGCAGTCTAAGGGGAAGTAAAGGTAACATCC